ATGGAGTGAGTTTGGAAATGGAAATTGGGAGAAAAAAATGCAATATAGAAATGAAACTGAATAACTTCTAAATCAAAAAAAGGTTTTGAGTAACTTTACTGATTGCATTTAAAAGATCCAATTTTCTAAATTTCAAGCCCAGTACACACAATCACTCTTGACCAATAAAAATGTTGTTCCTAACATCCAGCAGACCGATAACAATGCGTCTTCTCTCCTCATTCCAGAGATTATCCCACCCCCAGAAGAAAAGAGACTGTGATCTGCAAAACGCCATGTGAAAAAAAAATTAAAAATAAAAAAAAAATTGTAAATGTAATTATCATCATAATTGCTTTATAATCCTTTTAAGAAATAACAATTCCAGGAAGAAGAAACACTTTTCCTAACATAAAACCAGTACCTCCAGTGAAAATATTTACCTTTTACTGCATCTCAGCTCAACATAAAAAAGAAACAATAAAAAATAGAAAGAGTGGGGACGATGTGGACATGCTGCACCTCTGATCCCAATGACAAAAATCTTTAAAATCCAAAGATTTCAGCAAAACCTGCAGAACCACTTGCTGTCTGTTACAAGTCTCCTTTATGAGTCGGATCTTCTCAGCCAATAAAGCCAATAAAGACCTCATGGTGTCAGGATGAGTTACTGGGCCGAGTTCTTGAAGAACATCAAAGCTGTTCCCTTCAGGATAGGTTTAGGATAAACCTCTGAGGCTTTTGGGGTCTCCAGCATAATGGTTCTTGGTGGAACAAACATTTAGTAAGAAAAATGTTCATTTGGTGCAAAGAGGGTGAATTCAAAGATGATCTGTTGGTGAGCAGATGCCTGCTGGATTCCTCATATGGCTACTCCAACATGTTTGGTGTGCAGAGTGCTGGGTGAATACATTTGATCCCATGACCTGCTTCACTGAAGGATTTAGGAAGTTTCAGAAAGCTCCAGGGATCAATCAACCACAATTTCAATGACTGTCTCATCCTACTGTCACCAATCAACTAAGCTGGTTGAAGCCAGTTTAGGGAGTTCTGTCCAGAATCTATAACTAGACCAGATTGTGAAGCAGCAGCCCTTAATGGCACCTTCTCTGTTATTTAGACAATAAGTGGTTTTCAGATGAATAATTGTCCTCCAACGCCATTTTATACATCAGGAACACACTAAGTTCATGTAAAATGGCAGCGTCCAAACTTAATGTGAGAACTCTGTTCCAGGAAAAAAGTTCTGTTGGATTTTTATTCCGTTTTTCCTTTTGAATCAGAATGTTTTCATTGTCTGAAGGCTGATTAAATGATGCAACAGTTTACTCAGAAAAACTTTGATCCCTTATGCTCACAGTTCAGGTTGACTTTTACAACAAGTAGGTCAACAAACACATTCAGAAAGTTCTGGTGGTTTCAGCAGAACCATAGGTGACCCCAAACTACTCAAAGTAAAGATAAGAGAAAGGTTTACTTAATTCTTTATTAGGCTGTTGTTTCCCTGTCAAGTCTTTCTCCATGTTTATAAATATATAAATTATACATTAATCCAAGGAACTGCAGGATCAAAAGTAATGAACTTGAGAATCAATTTAGAGCCTAAAGTTCTAGTATAAGAGGTATGAATATTTTAGTATCGATCCACACATGACCATATGTAAGGTTCTAAAGAACCATCCCTTAAGAGCAGGGGTCTCAAACTGTATTTACCCAGTGGCCTCTGGAGGTAGAGTCTGGGTGAGGCTGGGCCGCATCGGGTTTCCAACAAGAAAAGCTCTTAAAAAAACCTTCCAATGTTATCAAATGTCATGTTTATTTTAAAATGGTTTTGTAGACGAAAAGATCGTTCTCCTTTTGTATATTTTTTGGCCGAATTGAAGATATGTCCTCCAAGTATTAAATAAGCCCTTTGATTTTTATTAATTTTTCGTTTAAGGATACTTTTAGTTTCTTTTCATTGATTTTGTGAATGGCCAATAAAACTCTGGAATTGGTTAATTCCGTTGGAGTTGCACAACAAAATGAGAAACCAATTCAATGTTTCTTGAAACAGTATTTAAGTCAATTAAGTTTAATTGACTTTAAATTTTCAATTAAACTTGGATAGAACTTAAAAGTGCACTTTACTTTGATATCTGACTTTACTGAATCTGTAACTTTACTTGATCTGTAATATTAATGTGATTAACTTGAGTAATTCCTGAGAAATACTATATGGTGTCAGGATTCTGTTGGCAATGCTGTGCAGTTTTCTGCCTGCTCTCTTCTCTCCCCCTCTCACAGGTGATTGCAGTTTGACAGGTGGGCGTGGTGCGCTCCGTGCTGAGGCATTAATAAACGCCTCTGTCAGCTGGAGCGGACCGTTCTCTGAGCTAACTGATCTTCCTCTAATCAGCTCTTTATCCGCAGTGCGATCGGTCCCGCTCCTGTTTTTCTGTCAGCCTGTCCTCCATTCATTCCTAAATAAACATCTTAAGCTGTTTTCTCCCTCCTGAATGTGATCTGCATGTGGGTCAAACATTTGAAAGCCATGACATATGGAATATAGATATTCTTATTATGTTTAGTTGTTTTGAATAGCAGTTTAATCCTGTTTAAATGCTCGTTTCTGTTTTGATGTATGACATTATTTGGGTCAGGTTTTTTTCCCCCATGGCACAGGACTTAAAGGGGAGCTGCCATTTTTTTTTTTTACATTGGGCCCTTGATTTTACATTATTACATCATGTTCTACTAACCCATATGAGTTTTGTGTCATTTGGAGCTGTTCGGAAGATATTCCAAGTAACATCTTCCTATGGGCAACGACTTCAAGGCACAAACTAAACTGTTCATAATGTATTTTTTATGGTACGCCAGCATTCATAACATTTACGCAAATTGCTGTCCCCCAGACAACCGCGGTTATATCTTTTATATTTATATATTTTAAAAACGAAGCAGAGTTTGTATGACGTCATGAACTGCTGCTAGTTTTACTCATGCCTGGAAGATGTCTACTGCTACTACCACAGATGATCTCGCTCTCGAAATGGAATTGAATGATTCAGACTGACTATCCAAATAAATATAAGGGGTAGAGCGTAGCCGCCTGTGGCCCTGGCTGCCTGTCACAACTCCAGTCCGGTGATGTCATACACGCGCCGCTTTGTTTTTAAAAGATATAAATATAAAAAATATAACTGCAGATGTCTGGGGGACAGTGATTCGCCTACATGTTATGAAAGCTGGCGTACCATAAAGAATAAATTATGAACAGTTTAGTTTGTGCCTTCAAGTCGTTGCCCATAGGAAGACGTTACTTGGATACAACCTAACGCAATATCTTCAGAACAGCTCCAAATGACACAAAAATCATATGGGTGAGTAGAACATGATGTAATAACGTAAAATCAAGGGGCCACTGTATAAAAAATGGCGTTTCCCTTTAAGTGAACCAAACTTCTTGATTGATGAAACATTAATCACTCTGCGAAGATAAACAACGGACTTGAAGAAGAGAACAAAAATCTTGGGCGTTATCAGAGTTTATTTTTGTCTTCTTCCTGTTGTGTTTATTGTTTATAATTATAGAAAAATATAAATATTGAGTACCTTTCTAAATATATGCAAAAATATACGTTTGAATACAATAACTTAAACTTACTACCTGTCGGTGTTTTATTCACACACACGCGGGCTCCTCAGACGAAGCTTTCTGATTGCCTATTACCATATTTGGCTCTAGTCAGGCGTAGCCTTAACTACGTCACACTGAGCTGTAACTTCCGGGTCTATGCTGGACGGTGAAGCGCGAGCGGCCGCGGGAAATGAGAACATGCCGCATGCTAATAATGAGAAATAGATGTCCCGCCCCCGAGAGCAATATACTCCACCGTAATTGGTTACCGTAGTTCCTCACTGAAAAATGCCAATTATATCAAACTCGCGTGCCGCACTAACATTAAACTTCAAAATGCTACATAGGCACTGAAAAACCTTTTTGACAGGCAATGGAAAAGCCGTTTATGTCCTCCACCAGCCTAAGTCTAAAGCAGCATAATTATAGACAGGTGAGGATCAAATGAACCACTCAAACTATAACCTTCATTAATAAACAAAACTTTAAAAACTAGCTCTCCTTTATTCTCCCAGATTACAAAGAATTGTAATAGAATCTTTATTCTTAATGTACTAATACATTTAAGTCTTGCTCACCCTGCTTTACACACAAGCAGAACTTCCCCTCTGATTTGTCTACTGGGTTCCTTGACATTTATGATGTTGGTTGTTCTCCAGAAGCAGATCGTTTTCAGATTTTATCACCAAGATGGACTTTGATGAGATCTCTTGTTCTCTGAACTGAGTTATATTCATGGGAATTAGTTAAATGGGTAAAGGAAGTGTAAACCATTTAGATCTTTTTGTAAAAATGATTAAGCCTTATTGTTCCACTTTACAAATATAATCTACATTGATTTGTATAACCACGGAGGTATGTGTGTTTAACATAGTGCCCTGATAAAGCTTTATCTAAGTTCAAACTCCCGGATCCATATGGGTTAAAGAACCTCTGCCTGGTGTCCTGACTGGCCCTGCAGCTCAGAGGTCAGACCCATTTCCTGGTCCCTGTAGCAGCAGGTGCAGATAAGGAGGTCTAGGGGTCCTGTGGGGATATCATGGTGGATCTTCTTCTTCTTCTTCTCTCGATTAGTCCTCCAAATGTCACAGGTTCTCTGGCTGAGGTCAGATGAAGGCAAACCCTTGAATAATGTGTTACAGATGTGACCTGATTCATGCCTTAGCTGTTAGAACCTTTTGACCTGTAAATGTACACTGTAGATCCATAAACAAAGACCATCTGGTGCCACAGAACACGTGAGCTAAACCTTAGCCAAGTTTCATATGCTGTACTATTCTACCAACATCACTGCGATAAACTGGGTTTTATGATCCAAACAAACACAAAATAAAGAAGGATCAAGGAGAGGAAGGTGAACAATTTAGATCTGAAAAGTTGTCGATTTTTTTTTTTTTTTATAAATAAAACCCAACTGTATTTGTAGCTGGAACTGGACAGAATAAATTCTTACAATGCATTAGATTAGATTACGGGTTTGAACACATCAAGCAAGCTTAGCATCAAGGAGCAACTTGTTTAACTGGTCTGATGATGGTTCAGTTTCTCATTTTCTTAATGAATAAACCGCCTGGTTCTCTGAGAGGAACCTCCTCCTGTTAACGTGAGGTCGGTAGGTCGGGTCGCAGGTGCCCGAATCTTCACACTCGCTGCTCGAAGAGTCGCTGGAATAGAGAGCATTCACGTCGAAGAAGCAGTCTCCATCTTGGAGCACCTCCTTCGCCCTCTCCTCAGCAGCGCTGTGCTGCAGGCTGGGCTTGGCCCGCCTGGCTGAGGCTCTTCCCTCAGTCGCCTGCAGGATCTCCTTTGCACTCAGCCTAGTCAGGCCCACATATGTCTGCAGAAGTTCCAGTTGGGTTTGAGATGGAGGCCTTTGCTGGTGTTCCTGAAGGTAGGAGGTTCTGAACGATGAACCTGAGGGGAGTTTGGACTGAAAAGTTCTGCTATTTAAGGTTTGTGGATCAAGTTTGGAGTTCTGAATTTGCTGAGAGGATGGTGGAAAAGGACAGCGGTCCTCCCCAAACGGCTGTGATTGAGCCTTTCTCCGGGACTTCAATGAGAGTCTAGAGGCGGTGTGTTGACCTGGAATGCTGCAGGATCGCATAGATATGTGCTGGTTCCCTGGAGCTATTTGCAGGTCATGGGAAGAGTTCTGGTTTCCTGATGTCTGGAGAACCGAAGAAGTCCGAGGCCTGGAGCTACATGACGCTACTTCAAGCAATGTGGAGAAGTGGTCAGCTGATAACTGCTTTGACTCGGGTGTGACGTGGTTCCTGCAGAAAGAAGCAATGTCCACCAGCCGGACGACCGGAAACTGCATGGTAGGCAGAACAGAACCTTCTGATGCTTCAGATCCTAGCCTCTGTTTACCTGCAGTGTTTGCAGCTTCTGATATCTGGAGATGGGTAGAAGTGTGTGATGGAGGAGGGGGATCAGAGGAAGAGAAGACAAGGTGAGACGGTGTCAGGTCCTGTGAAGACGAAGGCGTTGATGAGGAAGACTGGAACAGCACTGGAGACGAGGAAGCGTTGAGCTGCTGCTGTAGCAGCTCCTCTGAGCAGTCATCAGGACAACCTCGGAGGATGCTCTTCACCCATCGCTGATGTTTGGAGCAGAACTGAGGAGAGGAGCTGCCATCTTCAGGACGTTCATTGGTTTCCTCCACACACTGCTCCTCATCCCCACCATCTCTTTTTCCGTCTTTCTGAGCTGCTTCCTCTCTCTCTGGATGCAGACGTTCTGAACGATCTGAGCTACTTACGCTCTTCAACAACTGAAGGTCCTCTGGACACAGACAGGGACCAACCTGCAGGTCTCCTCCATTGACATCAAGCAGAGGTTCTCCTTCAGACTGGACCTGGCTCTTTATGGGACATCCCAGCAGGGCGGTTGGAGAGCAGGAAGTAGAAGCACCTGATGAGCAAAATGGGACATTATACACACCTCTGGATGACCAGCTGACTGACTGAGATAAAACAATAAAAGCTTAGTATTTAAAATGATGCCGTGATGGTACCAGATACAGGTACTGTTGGGTACCGACAACAAATCCCATCCCTATTGATGGACAGATGTTTGCCTCGGTAGCGTTTCTTACCACAGCTCAGCAGCGTCCTCACAGCTGATGGATCTGAGCCCTTTCCTTCCAGAAGAACCTCATTGTCTCTGTTCTCAGCGCTCTGGTTGTTCATTATCTGAGTCAGGTTGGTCAAACAGGCAGTAATCAGAGGTGGTTCTACTCCATTTCACCAACCTAAAGGTAGCATTTTTTATCTAAAGCAGTAAATACACCAGATGCGTAACAGCGCGTAAGAGCATTAAAGTGGCATACGTGTGTATGTTTGAAAACAGAAATTTACACCAGACACTGAAGAGAAGGCTCCACAGCAATGGGTTCAGCATCGGGTCTATAAGAAAAGACTTTTGACCTGTTAAATAAACTAAACATTACTATGTATGACATTTATAAACTTTTAAGTAATAAATGATCACCTAAAAATCAGCATCTTGACCAATCTGATGAGAAACCAAATATGTATTGTGTTAGCATTTCAAAACTACTAACATCTGCTGATTGGGCGGTAATAACTGTAACCTCTCAAAACCCACCGGGTCGCAGGCGACCCGTTTTAAAGCGTTTACAATTAACTCAGAATGCATGAAAATTACACTGGTAAAATGTTTACCAATATAGACATGTTAGACATCGTTAGAAAGCTTAGATTCTTCATATTTCAACTACCTAGTTCATTATATGGACATAGTGAGCACCAAAGCATAATTATAGCAGCATGTCAAAATGTAGCATGACAAAGCAGCCACAACAAGTAAGCATGTCTTAATTACTGCTGTTCAAAAAAGACTTATTTATGAGAAAAATATATACAACTTTGAATCATGTTTGAATTGATGCAGCTTGGGTGTTTCACCCAATTTTCTTGTATATATTCAGAAACTAGAAGGAGTTCGCTTTCAAATAACGTATCACACATGTAATTGGGGCTTAAAGTTCCTAAGTTATTTGCTTTTCCATTTGGGTATGCAAAATGGGCAAACTTCCCAGAAATGAGGTGGATATTAACATGTTAAGCAGTTTCTCTTTTCTTCCTGGCCCAAATTGGAGCGTACACATGTCTGAAATTAGAAACTTATCCTAAATTAGGAACAGCGCCACATATCTAGAGGCCTATTACACATCCAGTGTAAATCATTTAACTGTTTAAATTGATAAACTGTCAGGCACATAACTTATGAAAACATGCATAAATGCTACTCTGCTGCGCTTATGCGCCGTAACGCACCCGGTGTATGCCCCCCTTAAAACTGAGTGAAACCCTGAGCAAAACCAGCACCTTGCAGATTAAGGACTCTTGAGGGGAAACCTTCTGCAGCTTCTGCAGGTAATCCAGAAGTCTCTCTTCCACCTTCTTGGCATAACGTTCTCCATACTGTTGCTCCAACTCATTCTAGGCGACAATAGGGGTCAATCAACAGCAGGTTAGACACTTATTTTACTTTATGTTCATTTAATTCCCTTTAACTTTGAGGGATCTAGAAATACATCCGATTGCAAAAATATTAAGAGCTTTGTGTTAAGTTAAACTTAAGAAAGAAATGGGTGATGTTTTGATGCATAGATTGAGATAATCAATTAATTTCTTCCTTTTCTGTTGGACTAAGTCCCAAATTAGTACAAATGAACTGTATCACATAACAAGATGGTCCTCAAAAAAACAAACAAAAAAAAGTCCTCAATACCTGATCCATTTAAAATGGCTGTTGGTCTAGAATCAGAACCTTTTCTGATTCTCCTTCAATTATTGAAAAAGAACAGATCAATTACTCCAGCAGCAGCACAAAAATCAGGAGTCTTTTAGAAGAATTACTTTCACACACAGTGATGCAGCCAGATAATTTTAGTGAGAGTGGCCTGACAGGGTCTGGTGTTCACTTAGGGGTGTCTGAAAACAAATAGGCACCAGAACCATTCAAGGTTGTTCTAAACCAAATCATACTTTACTGACAGGAAAATGAATGAGAAAAACATCTGTATTCTTCACGTGAGGACAGGCAGTACAGATGTATGAATATGTGCATATTAATATTATTCTAGGCTTTAGGATGATTCACCCTGAGTTAAATGTAAAGTGGACAATCCTCTTTAAGCCTTAAGTTCCAGGAGGATCATTTTATCTGCCGGCAGTGCTAACCTAACGCCAATGTGCGTCCTCTTCCTTAACATCTGTATTTCCAATGGTTAGCTTTGGTTTCAGCTCTTCATTGAGTTGAAAAAGCTAATGGTTTTGGAAGTTTATAAGAAGAAAAAGAAGAAGGCGGCCTCAGAAGAATGAAATAAGATCAGAATTGAGGGATTCTTTTCCACAACACAGGAAGAGCAGCTAGGATGGACATTCATAATTACATTTCCAGAAATATTCTCCACTTTAATAATCTTAATATTTAACCAAATAAGATTCTCATAGTTATTACACACAGTTGTTATTTATCTCTAAATACATAATGGAGTCCTATATAATATGCAAGCAACTTCTCCCCCATAAAACCCAAAAACAAGTTCTGAAAAGAAAAAAGCAGGAATCCTATATTTGCCAACTTCATTGTTAGTATATTAATGTAAAAGATTAACTCCTGTACCGTGATTGTCGGTTAATGGTTAAGATACCAACAATATTTACTTAGCTAAAATATTCCTTTTGTGAGAATCACTGCTGCCCCCCTGTGGTTTACAGATGAACTGCTTGTTAGAGAAGAGGTTAAACTGGTCCAGCTCTCATAATGGTGGCCAAGTTTAAGCAAGTAAACCAAAGATTAAACAGGTTTAACTCAGGTTTACACAGGACAGGTTTGAGAAGTTATAAGTAGAATAATCTAAATTTGAACAAATTAATGCAGATTTTAGAGGTTTTCCCATGCAGACTAACCTTGATATAATCTTTAAGCCTCTCCTTGTCTATGGCGAGGCTCTGTGCCAGACTCTTGAAGTCTGCGTGGTTCTTCCGCATGAGGAACATTTCACGCTGGCTCTGAGGAACAAAGACAACCAGTTAATATTGGACCATCTGGGATTTGCTTCAGCCATGAACCATGACAACAGCGACCAACTTCCATTTGGATGCTGCCTTTTAGTAGAAACATTTCTCCTGGCACTTTGTCTAGACGCCTTCACCTGATCACAGACTACCTCACACACATCCAGTGGACTCAGAAGAGGTCAGACAGAGATAATAAACCATGTCAAACTAATATGCCTCAAACTCTGCTAAATGTAGTTTATACAGCAAAGTGTTTACTGATTTTGCTGCCCCTTATTAACCCACGTATACACTTCATCGCTCATTTGGGTTTTTAGTACAAATACACCGATCAGAGATTCTGTGGCTCATTTACAACCTTTCTGCTCCAAAAAAGTTATATATGCAATCATAGTGTCTAAATTGTGGAGGAGCGGACAGATTGAACTGTCCAACAATAAAATGTTCACTTCTTTATTTCCATGAAAACAGAGAAACTCTCTGTTTTGGTCGTGGTGGGTTTTGATGGATCAGTAACAATATAGCTCTACTAAAACATATCCTTTAAGCCAGAGGTCTTCAGCAGGGGGTCCATGACCCCTAGGGGGTCCACGCAGGTACAGCATGGGGGTCGCAAAAGTTTTTAATTGATTAGACTTTTTTTTTTATATTCCCCCTGCAATTTTTTTCCCCTGAGACGTCTTTAAATACACATTAACATGAATTCAACACACTGTAGTAAGCAGATAAATGGAGGCAGAAGATGTCTTTCAGTCATCAATGCACACATTCAGCGACACACAGGAGCTCTTTTAAGCTGGGCGCCGTTTCATTCACAACACCTGTCCCATCTACGGAATATCAGGATAAGAAATACTTTAATAATCCCAGGGTGAAATTACTTTCATTACATGACACCATCTGTAATAGAGTGACTATAGGACCATTTTCATATAACACTATTTCATACAAGATATATATAATTAGGGGGTCCCCGCTCCATCTCGCCATCAGTTTGGGGGTCCTTGGCCTGGAAAACGTTGAAGACCCCTGATTTAAGCGATAATGAAAATGGTATCCTAAACAGTGCTTTCAGAATATATAGCAAACTTGTCCAGCTTAATATAAATGTTTGGCAGCAGTTCAGTAGTCCGAAAGAATTAACAGATATTGAAGGACTGGATCCGATTGGATCAGCTCAGAGAGAGAACTGGCAGTTCTAGTTCTAGTCGGTGTAACCCAAGAATCTTCCCCAGGAAAGTGTCTGCTATCATAATGTCATTAAGCTGAAGGCTAGCTGACCTAAATGGGTCCCTCTGGGTTTAGTGGCTCAGATACCTACACACTGATCTTCATACTGGGGCAGCTTGCTCGGGAAGAACTGGATGATTTTGGACATGATGTGGACCATCCCTCTGCCCTCTTTCAGCATCCACATGATTATCTGTAAAACAAAGACAGCAGAATCAGGAGGGCATCCATCTTCAGCCACAGTTTGGGTCTGAGTATGTGAGCTCCATCTGTTCTCCTACCATGGTCTTCAGACCAAACAGGATCTTCATATGTTTGATAGCAGGAACCAGTCTGGGTAGAAGTCTGTGTGTGGTGTCCAGGAACTGCACCACGCTTTCGAATTTCTCCATTTCTCTGTTCTTCACGATGAAGCAGATCTTAGCAGAGAGGATCCGCAGCCTGCAGGGATCCTCTGGGCTCAGAGGCTGGAGATCCAGGTCAGACCAGCTGGAGACATAAAGATCTGCAGAGACACAAAGCTCTTCCTGCTTAATGAACTCAAGCTCCAGGACACATCCCTGCAGGTTTATAGCATTCTATGGCTGCCTGACGTCATCTAGGATTGCAGAAATATTAAGGAATAAGAGAAACTTCTGGAGATGGTTTAGTTGGGACCTTGAGTCAACACAGTAAACCCAAAGACAGGTCCTGAAGCTCACCCTGTTGGACATCCATGGCTTTGTGCAGTCTGGGTGAGCTTGGATGGAGCCAGCTGGTAGTTCTCCTCTGTCCATCAGATGCTTTATGCCGGCAGCAGGTCTCCCTGCAGTCCGGCTGCCCCCTCTGCCTCCGCTCGGACATGTGGAGACATGCTGCAGTTCCTCTTCAAACTAAATTCAAAACCTTGCGAATTACTTCCGCTTCAAATACACCGCTCAATTTCAAAATAAAAGCTCGTTAATTTAAACCTACTTCTTTTTATTATTTGCAGCTCTTATTTGCAAACCGCCATCTACTGGACAAGTGTGTTAAATCATTAACATCTAAATTCGGATGGGTTTTTCTAAGATACACACTGTAACAATACATATAAACACTACAGTAAACATATATACGTCTGTGAAAAGGCAAAACATGTCACCAAATTTTAAAATTGTGCTTCTTGTTAACTGGTTTAATTATTTTAACCCTGCATGGTTCAGTTGGTGCTTCACTTTGCTGCAGGGACAGATGAATCGACAGTAATGTTATTTCTATTTAATTATATTCTATTCAGCATATATCCTTGCGTTAGGACCATTCATGTTTATGTCTGTTAGTATATTGCTTCCATGTTCCTAATGTTTTTTTTCTCTCTAAATAACTTGTAAATGCAGTTAGGTGACATTTCCTTGGACTAAAGGACAGTACCAGGGTCTTGTCCAATTCGGGCTTTTATTGTGAAGTTCAACTTTCTCCTCGTGTGTGGAGGACCCGGAAGTGATGGTTGGGAGCTTGCCCTAGCGGTCCCAGCTTCTCGAGTTATTCTTAATCAGTCCAGCTTGTCCCTGCATCTTTGGACCTAAAGGTACCATGAACATTATCGTCTGACCGGAAATACTTAATTTCTTTAAAGCTTATGCGGTTCGGTGACTGAATGTAGGGCCCGTTTTTTATTGTAGCTGACAGCCATAAGTACGGTGGCCCTGGACCTATTTAAGGGTGGCTTCAGTCACCCTTTCTTTGGCATTAGCCACCCTATAATTATTTTGCGATTTAAAAAAATTTTTTTTTTTTTTCTGTATTTATTTTTTCCTCATATTTTCCCAAAACAAATGCAGTAAAGCACCGAATAAAAGCCATAAAGAAGACAAGTTAATCTGAACAATCATAGGCGTAACTTCCTTAAGGACTGGTAGGGGGACTGTCCCCACCAATATTTTGTACACGTATTTTGCTTTCGGTGCTGTGTATATCTGATTAAAACCCCATTCATGCCGCTCCTCAGAAAGAAAATAAAAAAGTTCTCCCCGCTGCTCACCGTCCACAAACCCCGACAAAAAACTCAGAAAAAAGAATCTGTTGCCTCTCGCTTTCTCCCCATCACCCCCCTCCAACCTCTCCCCATATGAGTTGAAGATATCCGCGGGTGACGGGTCGGGTTCGGTCGTCATCCTAACGGGTTCGGGCGGGTGCGGGTTGGTAAAACTCGACCCATGCAGGTCTCTAAGCTACACTACATTCAGTATCGTTGCCATAGAAACAGACAACAGCGCCAATATATCAGAATTATACTAAAACACACGCAAATAATTTCCCACATAAAAAACAGGAATTTCAGTCCATTACAGTTTTCCGTTTTTAGAGGGTTGTTTATTTTGCGTTTATTAAGTGATGGCTGTGGTATATTAGCTTTCACTGCTATAAGCTTTCGCAGCAGTGATTGATTAATTTAAACACCTGCTCTACTGATGGTCTATCGGAGTTGGTGTTTAGGTCGAACATAAAGAACACCTTTTATTTGAAGCTTCTTGTAGCTACTGTTTTAATCCCGGCTTTACTTAAAACTTTTTCCTGACTTTGATAGTGTTGCCATTCAGTAGCAAGCACTGCGCCCCTTTTTCTTTTATATGTACACGTACATTTAAGATTTAGCGTGTTATGTTGACAACTCATGAGCAAGCTGCTTTTTGCAATCTAGCAGGAAGGTAAGGATAGGATCTTGCAGGTGTGACGTCACTCTGCAGGGGGTCCAAAGATAAAAGATTTAAACAATTTTGGCATTGGGATTTCAGATTTAAGGGAGTTAGAAAGTTCACTTAGTAAAAGTGCAAATAATAAATCTGATTACCGATTACTTTTAAGCTGGTTGAACATACTGCGACAGACTGGTGACCTGTCCAGGGTGATCCAACCTCTCACCCAGAACGTGCATGGCTAGAGATATGCACCAGCACCTATTGATCCCACTGAGGGATAAGGTTAAAGAAAATGGATGGTTGAACATAGTCCGCTCTCCCAGATTCTATCAAATCAGTATTGATATCCTCAGGGGCGGATTTAGGAAATTTGGGGCCCTAGGCAAAGACAGGCAGGGGGCCCCCTGAGAAGAAAACCTATAAAACAGACCCATTCTACGGATAGAGAAATGTTAATAGAATAGACATCCATTATTTGTTCTAGGTTTTGTCCCTCTCTTCTTGTCCCTTTTTCCTCTCTATTTATCAGCGTTCTGATGGCATTTTAGCCAAAGGATTTTTATCAAAAACATAATTAATGTGCACAAATAAGGAATAGTTGTATTAACCATACATGGAAACAGAGTTTTATGGGGCCCCCAGAACTTGGGGCCCTGGGCAACTGCCTAGTATTGCCTAATGGTAAATCCCCCCCTGGATACCCTGCTGGTGGATGTTCTTGACAGAAAGACGGAGTTGCTTAATCATATTCTTCTTAAGGCCCCATAAGATCTTGTCCGAGTCCTGGTTTAAAAGTAAATTAATTTTAAAATAAATCAATAAATGTCAATAAATGTTCTACAAAATTGATATATTTATTTGATTTCTTTGATTTGTACTATCTGTTTAGATTTATGTGATATTTTTTGCACAAAATATATAACTGAATATTGTAACAGTTATGTTTTCAACTGTAAGCATTAAATTGATAAATGTTATTCGCATTTTTTTGGCTTTATCCTTTCCAACAACAAAAAAAAAGGCGTCGCGCAGGTAGCTCCCTTTCCTTATGAGCCGTCCCCACCAACTTTCAACACAAAGTTACACCCTTGTCTTAGACAACGCCTTAGCAGGTGCACTGATCTTCTAGGGGCTGAGCCACCCTTGTCTCTTAAACCTAGAGACGCCCCTGCTGACAGCCCCGGTGAGCGGGGTTGGATGTTGAGTTGTAGTTGGCTAAAGTGGCGTTTAATGAATAATAATCTGAAATAAATACATCTATCGGACATAGTATTATGAACACTGGCAGGTGAAGTGAACAGCACTGATTATCTCTTAATTTGCTCCTCTTAGCAGGTCTGATGCAGCTGAAAAGACCAACAGAATTCATAGAACACATTAAAGGTCGATGTCTAGACAAGCAATTAGAATATGGATGTGCTCTCTTCATCCCCTGACATGGGAGTTGGCTCAGAGCTCGGCTCCTTTTTACAGTTGCTTTTTGTATTTCTGCTTCTGTCTCCTTGAACCCCAGTCTGAGCCTGGTTCTGCCGGAGTTTTCTTCCTGCTAAAAGGGAGTTTTTCCTCTCCACTGTTGCTACAAGCATGCTTAGTGTGAGGAATTGCATCCGAGTTAATGACTTGATGCAATCAACTGGTTTTCCTTAGATAGAAAACTGAATCAATTTGACTGCATTATCTGGTGAAATGTAAAGTGCCTTGAGATGACATGTGTTGTGAATGGGCGCTCTATAAATAAACTGAATTGAATACGTGCTCTCTTGGTATAAAGCCAATTATATAAAAGTGTATAAACTATACTCCTAAACAATGAACTCTGTACATTAAACCTCTATCAAATATGAAGAGATGGAAAGCCTGATTCTGGTTCTGCAGAACATCCTAAAAGGAGAGTGTGAATCATTTCTTCTCCTCTCCCTTTCCCCCCCCTACAGCCTCACTGCCTGCTTCGGCTGCAACATGACCACCAAGCCATGTGTGTCCCTGCTCCTGCTCCCCTGGACCAGAATCAGGTTCTGTGCATCCAGAGCCCCCTGCTGCACATCCAGAACATTGCTCCAAACAACTGCTGCCCCTCACCTCTCAGTTTTCAAACGCTCTTTGTCTACCAACATCAAAGTGCGCTCCTACCTTCAGTACGTCAAACGTAAGATCAAGTCCCCCCCAACCCCCCCTTACAACCATGTGTGCCAAGTAGGAGACCCCGTCCTGCGCTCTCATGCCGCTGCAGTCGACCCTGCAACCATAACGGGCCCAGAGATCCAGAAGGTGATTGGAACCATGGTAAAAGTGATGAGGAAGCTAGAGTGCGTGGGGCTGAGCGCCCCTCAGATTGGGGTACCACTCCGTATCCTGATGATGGAGTATTCATGGAAGCTGTTTGAGGAGGTTTCTCCTGCAGCCAGGGAGGCCCGCGGACTGTCTGTGCAGCCCCTCAGGATCTTTGTGAACCCTGAGCTCCGGGTTCTGGACAGTCGAACAGTGCTGTTTCAGGAGGCCTGTGAGAGCATCTCTGGTTTTTCTGCCACGGTGCCCCGATACCGATCGGTGGAGGTGTCTGGTAAGTTGGTTTATTAAAACACATCCTGGTCAAATTTGGCTTTATCAGTACAGATGCTTTCATTGAAGTTCCTTCTGATTTTTAATTGTTTCTTCAGGACAGTTAGTCTAAGAAATGAGCTCTTCATGGGTCGAGTAGCAGAGTTGTTTGCATTGCTCTCGTTAAAAAGCTGCTAAATCCTTTCAACCTTTCTGTTTTCTCAGGTCTTCTGTTGTTAGACTGTAATCTGCTGTAAATCTGTCCATCTCAGGTCTCAATGAACGTGGTGAGGCGGTCACATGGCAGGCCAGTGGCTGGTCGGCTCGGGTCCTTCAGCACGAGATGGACCACCTGGACGGGGTCCTTTACATAGACCGCATGGACACCAAGACCTTCATCAACATCAGCTGGCAGGAGCTTAATGAATGACAGACTTTAATCCTTTAATGAGAGACTTTAATCCCTGTATGATGGACCAAACAGGTCATATGTGAATATATAATAAAATGAGTTTGATGAATCTTACGTCTAAATGAGGCCAGAACGTGTTTTGGATCCGTTAGGCTCAACCCAGTGAAAAAGTTGATTTTTATTAATTCCGCTGGTGAAGAGGAGTGAAAACCATAAAGTAAATTCACCTTCTTTTACCAAATTCATTGAATTCTAGAAAATATCCGACATTAAAATGTGAATTATATAATTTTTTTTTTTTAATAAAGCACTTTAAATGCCGCGATAATCACATTTAAAGAATTTTAATGCCAATTAAGGCCTTAATTTAAAAAATAATAATTTAATGATTTTTAATGACCTGCGGAAACCCTGTAACAGGTGTGTTGGAAAAGAAGATGCACTTCTGGTTGGTTTAGAGTCTTTTCCTTAAATAAAATAATTGATAAAACATTTTTCCTCAGATTCTTACATTTTTAAAGCAGTTCTACAGAACTTTCAGTTTGGTAGATTTTGTCTCCCTTCAGTGGATAAAAGCTGTATTGTTTTGTGAGAATTAGCATTCCTGAGGCTCAACATGGTGAAGACCATAGCGTGGTGAAATCCTGATCCCGTTAACCTGCAGGTGGATTGAACTACATTTCTGTTTCCTGTGGCTGTGGAATAGAAGTTGAGGTTATGAATCTTGTGGCGAAACAACGTGATATGACGATGTTAAAAATAAGAAATATTTATGATTTTTACATTGTTTCTTTTACAGTATTCCTGTCCCCTAACACCCACCTCACCTGACCCATCAGATTCTGAATATCAGCCCTGCACAATTTGTGCAAATATACAATCTAAGGGAAATTTAGTTGCATGGACTTTAGTCTTTAAAACGAACGGCAAAGGGGGAAGTGATGTATGCCATAAAACAGTCTGAAGTTCTTTTGCGTGGCAGAGATACTGCCACCCTCAAAGTTATAAGTCGACATATATTCACAAAAGTCATGAAAATATTTTATGAAGGTTGTAAGTCACTAAGTGAGGGTTTAACAATTGTTTTAGGATTAGAAGCATCTAATAGTTGTGAAACAGAAAGATAAAACACGCCCCAAACAGTGAGAGCACCCTTTTTACTCCACACGATGTGCAAACAACAAACAGAAGCACAGACGGTTGTGCCTTAAGCTACAGTGGAGTGACCCAGGAGTCTGCTGCTGCCCCCGACATCCCCCATCCTTCCAAAAAGAGGAATTACGATTAGTACATGGCAACATCTAGGTAACAGTGAAACAAAAAGAGGCAACATTCACATTTAAGGCACTGATTCAGTTGAATGTGTCTCATTAGTGCAAAACTTCTCAGAAAGTAATCAAACAGATGTGGATAGGTCGAAGGTTTGGCCGCAGCTGCATGTAACAGGATTTTTGTACCAACACTGGCTGCAGTACTCATTTCCACAGTAATGGCACAGAACCAAGGGCTTCCTGTTGCAGAACTTCCCACAGGAGCAAGTCCCCAGCGGGATGGTATTATGCGATGTTCGGCAGAGTTTCCCTTGGACGCACTGGCTGCCGTGGAAAACCTTACAGGTGTGACACAGGAGCCGGGGGTCCACCTTAGCTGAGTCGCAGTGGTAGCTGATTGGTTCCACCTTTGGGCTTTCTGAGGCGGCACTGTGGTGGCCAATGGTGGAAACTGCTGGAACTCCGCTGCTGAGACCATCAGGAACTTTGAGGTGTCTGCTCTGGGTGGGGTCGTCAGCCGACTCCTCCACAGTTTGTATCCTGTGGCCTTGCACTCTGCATTCAGCCAGCAAGAGACAAGTTATATCGTGGAAGGCGTTGCAGTCAAAGCAGCGATGAAGACGAAGAGGACGATCCCCAACGCAGTCGCAGAGGGAGCCGACATCAGTTTTAACCCTGTCCCTCCCTGGAACTCCCATCTCCTTCGAGCCCAAATGATCAAATCGGGGGTCTTCATATGAAGGTTTGCTTCTACTTCCTGGTGAAATTGGCCCGTTTCTGGGTCTGTGGGCACCAGGGGGAGTCAGATTGTCTTGATAGTCTCTGGTAGATGTCGGCGGGTCTTCATCATCACTCATAAAGTCCTCCTGCCCACCGTTAATCTGCTCATCTCTGTACATATCCACTTCTACATCAATCTGCTCCATCCCAGCTGGCTGCTTGACTGAAAGCTGCATCTCAGTGTTGTCAACGGCGACCTGCCCAGAGACAAAAAAACAACGTTGGATATTTGTATTCAAAATGTTAAAAGGAGAAGAAAAACTGGGCTAGTTAAACCAAAGATGTCAACAGAGGAGAGCAGCTGTGTGGGTCTTGGAGTTTCCTATGTCCCAAATATATTTCAGAATGGTGGGATGCAATTTGAATTTTTAATCAAGTTAATTGCAGGGTCTGTAACTAACTAAATGGCATTTTAAATAAAAACCATATAGTGGAAATAATAAACCAACTTTTCGATTCAAAAAAACAATTTTCTCCTCAGTTATGGAATAAATAATGATATTAGCACAACATATATTTATTGTTTTTAAAGGGCTCATAGAATGATTATATAGGGTATTTGGTGCTGGTCCTTTGGTCCCAACATTGGTTGGGCTGAAAGTGGCATATATGCTGTTCTATGAGCCCTAATGCTGAAACGACAGGTTTTCTTCCTTTTATGGTATGCTCATGAATATTTAGATGAGCTGTTTGCTGATTGGTTGGTTTACAAGGAGCGAAGCAGCTGAGCAAAGAAGCATCATAGCAATAACTCACTCACTTAAACATCTAAATTGTTGATATGGTAGGGTGACTGGACGTCTTTTTCACAGACATCTCTTTTCATACCTAAGAAAATGTCCGGGGGAAATTTCAAAATTGTCCAGGATTTTTGTCGACTACAGTGCAGCACAAGGTTGAAACACACCGGGCATTCGAACTGAGCCGTCAGCTCAGTTCAACCCTTAGACGTCACACAGAGGAACCAGCTGCTGGAAAGCTGTGATGTAAGCAAGCCAGCCCTCCCACATGCCTTTTTAAAACCTAGCATGTTGAACTAAACGTCCTCCTCCACCTCATGGATGTCCGCCTGCAAGGGATAAAGTCTACCTTCACGTGAAGTCCTTTGCAAGTGACGGTGTTAGCAGGCGAACCCAGCTACTCTTCCTGCAATCCGGACCTCTGATTACAGTGCACGTAACGAAATTCTTGCCTGCTATGAAGCAGACGAGAAAACTGGAGTTTTAGGCCTTGGTTGACCAAAACTATCCTGCAGTTGCTAAGGACACGGGACCACCCCTGCTGTGTGGACCCTCCTGACACCGCCGCAAGTTATCAAATTGATTAAAGCCCCTCAAATTCCCTTGTTATTTGCATCAGACTGATTCAAATCTCCCCGAGAGCTGACCCGGCTTTGGAAACAGACTGATCAGAACCATAAACTCCCCCCTCCTCCCATCCAGAGTCAACGCACAGTAAAAACTACTTCCATTTCTTCCCATCTGATGCTAGATTAGGGGGCTTTAGCTAGTTAGGTTTTGCATGTGTTCTATTGCTACTCTTGATTATTAAAGCTGATGGTTCAAATGAAAGATTTCTAAATGGAAAACTGGATTCATTAAGGGTGTGTGACTGAGAGTAAATGGCTGTGTTTTAACTGTTTCTTTTGTTTATTCTTTCTCTCTATTGTCCTGGAATGAATGTGCTAAAGGTGAACTGACAACCTTGTGTCCCCTTATTGATCCCTCGTTGCAGTTACGTTGTCTGGGGGCAGCCATATTAATTTGTTTTACGACCCATTGTGCTCCTTAGTACTGTTAACTCCACCTCCTTTGACCATACGGTGAAGGCTACCATTTAAGCTCCACCCCCTAGCTGACTCTTAAGTATTATCTAAGCTAACCATCTTGCTGCAGCGCTGTATTGCTTAATGTAGGGCTGAAACAATTAATCACATTAATTGAGATTAATCGATTATTGAAATAGGCGTCAACTAATTTAGTACTCGATTAATCGTTAACTGGAGTGTAGAGACTCTGAAACATGCCTTTAGCTGACAGAGCAACCCGAAATTGAGGAGTAATTGTACCAAAATTGTGGGGGGAAAAATGTGTAAACATTTTGCATTTAAGATAGATTTCTTTAATCTGTCAATATGTTCTATCCTCAAGTGGAAAGTTTAAGTTTCACCTGGTTTCATTTCGCAAAAAGTCTTCTTTAAGCAATCTTTTGCTATCCAATTATTTATCGACTAATTAAAAAATAATTGACAGATTAATCAATTTGCAAAATGATCATTAGTGGCAGTCCTCCCCGACTCCATCATTAGCACACATACCTGCAGGACGTGTCCTCTCTGCCTCTCCTTCACCACGGCCAGTTCATACTGGGTGTCTCCGACACGTTTCCCCAGAGCGCCCAGAAGGAGGCGACACTCGCAGCGAGCAACGAAGAAGGCGCAAGACATGCGTAGGAGGTCTTCCAGTGAAGCAGGGCTAACTCTGGGCGACTGGAGGCAGAGCTGCTGGGCCGGGCTGGGCCGATAACCCAACAGTCCAAACAGGGTCTCCGTCTGAGGCATTGAAAGCACCGGGCTGATGCAGTGGGTGAAGGTACCGGAGTACATCTGACACAGGTAGGAAAAATTGGAATTATTTCATTTCTGTGAAGAGATAAAATAACTGCTTTATTCATTTTTTAGACTACCTTAATGACTTTGTACTCATTCCTCCAGGGACCCAGGTACAGGTTCAACGCTGCCTGCTCCAGGACCTCGAAGGCTATAGCCAGGCCCTGAAGGCCTCTTCTGGATTTCCTGCTCCTGCCGTAGGCTCCAGACGGAGCTGCCGCTGCCCCTACCTTCAGCGACTCCTCCATCACCCGGAGAGGATCCAGACCAAGACAGTGAACCTCGCGAGGATCTGAGTCCTTCAGCAGCCCCTCCACCTCCTGACACAGAGTCTCATCCTTGCAGGCCAGACTGGAGCCACGCCCCAGAATCTGCTGCTCTAACATCTGATCGTAGGCTCTCACCAGATCAGCGGCTCTCTGTCGAAGGGCGCACATCTCTGAGAAAAACAAAAGGGTCACATGATCTGCCCCCATGAAGTGTCAAAACAACACAAAGCAGAGCATCATTAGAAAGTGTCAGGAGTTCCTTACTTTTCATCATTTCTTTCCCAACATAACCTGAAAACTGTTTCAGGCATTTATATTAAGGCTCTCAGTCAACCTCCTCTGACTGGATGTGCAGGGTGGTTATTCTACTGGAAGGTTAACCTCTCAAGTCTTCTGCAGACAGGTTTATTTCCTTGGTGGTCATGGATTTAGCTCCAACCAGCTTCTCACAGCATTGATCAACTGGGAGCAGATCTGGTGGCGCCGACACCATTGTTTGGCTTTCCATCTCAAATAGAGCACCATGACTCGCTCTCAACCACAGTAAACCGAGCAAGAACTGGTGGGCTGGTTTGGAAACACGGTGAAGCAAGCTGCGTGAATGTTTACTGCATTGCCTCCCTGTATGTCGAGCTCATTTAATATATAAATCACTTGATTTGATAAACATCTACAAAATATTTTATCTGGTCAAACCTCAATTACATATATCTAAAACTTCAGCTTTGACTTATCAGAACATTACGGTAATCTATGATGGTAATTACAGATAGTTAAACTTACAGAATTTTTTTTTAGCTTCCAATACCTGCAGATTATTTGAGACAGGGAAATGAAATGTAAAACTACAAAATGCCAAGCGAACCATGTAAAACATTAATTTCATTGCCATTTGTTTTTTTAATTCTCTGCGTGTTTGTAGTGATTTCTATATAGATTTAAAGAAACTATGATTTGGCTTCTTTCTTCCCACACTCTCATTTTGAACCATAGCTGTGAAGGCCATGACTAATACTGAGCTGCAGATCTCTGTAGCTCCTCCAGAGCCCCATGGTCATCTTTTGTGCTTCTCTGATCAAAGCTCTCCTTGTTTAGCATGTCCATTTAGTTGGAAATCTACATAGCATGTCCTTGGAAAGTCAACAAACAGGGACAATTTAAAACCGCACTCCACTTAAACCTGAACAAACACCTTCTTCTTCATCTAACTGCCAGGTTCCTCAGTTCTCCTAACTGTTGCTGGTTGTGGAACTGATTCAATGACACATCTGGACTGCTGTTATCGATTAAATGACCTCTGTAGAGGGGTTTTCTAGAGGCATCAGAGTAAATAGAAAAGAATAGAATAGAAAACCCTTTTAGAAAAATGTCTTAGAATAACATAATAGTGAAGAGTTAAAAGATAAACAATAAAATACTGTACTGAAAAGGGGTTTAACGATATAAAACTGTGCATCTGGAGAATAAATAACCAATATACAGCTATGGACATTTGAAAATAGCAGCAACATCCAAGATGTGCAAAATGTCTGCAGCATGTTATTTAAGGGCCTAAGACAGAAACTGTGCAAAAATCAGCATGAATGTAACAACTTATTGAAATTGTTGGGAACAGTGGTGGTTATAAAGTCTTGCAGCTGATGGGAGGAAGGATCAGTGCTAATGCTTCCTGGTGCATTTAGGGTGCAGCAGTCCTTTCCCTTAAGGAGCTCTCCAGCTCTGCAACAACTTCATGCATGGGGTGGGAGACATTATCCAACAGGGATGTTAATATAGTTAGGATTCTTTTCTTTCCCACCTCCTGCACCGAGTCCAGTCATAGAGCTGGTCTTACTGATGAACTTATCAATCTGCTTTCTCTCAGCTACAGATTAGCCACTGCTCCAACAGACAGCTCCATAGAGGATAGCTGATGCCACAACAGAGTCAAAGAAGGACTTTAGGAGCGCCCCTGCACTCCAAAAGAGTCTGCTCTGATCAAATAAGGTTAAATACAAATGAACACTGCACCTTTCACATTTTGTTCTGTCTCTTCACCAGTTTTGCTTTACTTTGTTTAGCTAAATTGACAGAGTTTCACAATTTTAACAGAATTACAGTAAAAAAGCATTTATGGGTTATTTTTCATGACATCAACACCCTCATTATCTTCATAAAATTAGATTGGCTTCAGAGATTAAAAGTAAAATCAGTCCAGAACAACAGCAAGATAGGCCAATAACAGCTGCCCGCTGTCAGATCCATTAAGTCAGTCCCAGAAGTGAAAGCGATAGTTTCAATCTGTTGGGGAACAACTTAACTCTGAGCTGTCAGTTCAAACAGCCTCGAGTTAGCATTAGCTTAGCCACAGTTACACCAACAGCCGTTAAAGTTCGTCTTTAAGGCGTTACCGGGGATAAATCACACATTTCTCCCCCTTTGACTCGAGCGTTTCTGTCCCGAAATGTTTACCTGGTTCTTAGTGACAAGAGTCGAAATAAAGTGTCTTTTGAATCACGGTGTTTTCAAGCCGAGGAAAAACAGGAAGCTGAAGTTGGATTCTGAGTGAGAGCTAGAGTAAAGGAATGTTCCCTGTTTTAAGAACTTACTTTCATATGAACTTAGGTTTATAATTTAATCAAACATGGTCAAACACTTATTGACCTTGACATTTGGGATTTGGGAATAAAATGAAAATATAGCCGAATGATAGAAATGATTTTGGCATCATTATCACATTAGTAAATAAACACGATTTATCATTAAATGTTTTTTTTTTTCCTTCAGGTAAAATTGCTCCTTGTGATCAACAGTTACTTTATCAGTCAAAACTGGTCTTTTAATGAGAAATTCATTAAATTTCTCATTCATTAAATAATACAGCTCTGAATACAGAGCAGTAAGGACCGTGTGATGAACTGTTCTCTCTTTGCAAAGATACGAAAATAAAGTGCAGACTGAGTGAAATCCATCAATCTCTGTTTAATCAACTGGGGAGAATCGTTGAATATTTTTTCCCACTACACTGACTAAACTTTTGCATAAAATCCTGATAATGTCCTAAACAGGGATTTAAAGATAACTATGGAAGAGGATTAGGGCCACTGAAAAAAAAAAGTTAACTGATTTTTTAATTTCTCAGAATTCTGACTTTAATCTCAGAATTCTGACAGCTAACAAACATGTTAGCATCAAGCCATAGCCATGTCTGTTTTAATGACCTTCTGCTCTTCTATTAATGAGGGGACCCCTCGGGCACATCAAAAGTTGCCTAATTCCGTCATTTTCCACCAATGTGTCACTGGCCCTCTCAAACACCTCACATCTTTGTCAGTGAAGCTGAGTGCTCCCACATCTCTTCCTTCATGGTGCCCATCTACATTAAAATCCAAAATTCTGAGATTAAAGTCAGCATTCTAAGAAAAAAGTCAGAAGTCTGATTTTTTCCCCATACTAAATTGAAATAAAAATGTAAAATCAGTAAACTTTTTGTTTTTTTTCCAGTGGCCCTAATCCTCTTCCATAGATAACAGACATAGTATTATTGGGTGTTTTTCTCTGCTTGAAACTGCAGGCAGGAGTCGATAGACTTAGAGGTATCAGACCAGCTTACATTCTGGGTCCTGGCCTTTCAAACCAACATCCTGTTCTGTTGTGTTTTGGAGTTATCACCTAAGCATAATCAATGTTCCCAGTGCCAATAAAGATTACAATTATTCCTGTTCCGATGTAGATCCACCTCCTAGAGCTAGAACCCTATCTATGGATGAAAATCTTTTTTATCTATATCTATTACCAATTAATCAGTTTAAAATTAATAAATATAATTAAGATATTAAAACCAGCTGTGTTTAAAATAATTTTTTGGTGCTATTAAATGATTTAATGTAGATTTGGGAAGATTTTAGACCACAGCGAAGCAAAAGTAGACTGAACCCCATAGAACTGTCAAACAACGCTACACCGAATCGGAGGCTAACTTCAGCGCCGATGAAAGTTTTAAGGTCGATCCAAAAGGAAAGTTAGTTCATCTCTTGGACCCTCTATGCATTAAAGGTTTGGTTCCTGCTTGTTCACACGGGGATCTCAAGACAGATTATTTTTTCCTTTTTCTCAAAAATCCTCGGTTCATCTGAAAGCTAACAGCACCATTAACAATAAACAGTTCGGTTATGAGTCCAAATGAACACTAGACTCTAAAAACATAACAGAACCTTACCTTTTCTTGCCTAATGGGCCGTTTTCATATGTTTAGTTGATACAAAAAATAATAAACTACATTTCCTGGAGTCACTGTCAGCTCTACCGTGGAGGAGGAGGTTAGCGACCCACCGACTCCTCTGATTGGCTGGGAGGGTCACGTGCTTCGGTTATTTCCCAGCATAAAGCGCGTGCTATTTTTACCAAAGTATCCCGGCTCAGAACACTGGGTGTACCTGAAATACTAAAGGAAGCAGTTGTTGTTTTAAACTTTTTAAAACAATTTTTGTAATGCAAACTCTTGCAGAGGATATATGGCGACAAGTCCTCACAAAAAAAAAAAAAAAAGGAGGAAGCAACATGAATTTCACAATTTGAAAACTAAATGCAGCGTACCAAGCATGGGAGTGTGGGTTTAATGAGGACTAAATTATAACAGTGAATGAAAATAAGGAAATATAAATATTTACAGTCAAGTTCAATTTCTGGGTATAAGTTAAGGAATTGTGGCAAGTACCAGGGGCCCAGGGTAAGGCCAGTGTTTTTTAAATGAGGGCACTGGACAAAATAACAAACACACACACACACAAGGTGTGACACTATCCCTGTGGGGACTTTCCATTGACTTCTGTTCATTTCCCATTCATGCCTATGGCATAACCTTAACCCTTACTCTAAGCCTAACCATTACCTACATACCTAACCCTAAACGTAACCCAAACTCAATTCACAACTTACTGATAAACCTGCCCCAACAGGAGGTGCGTATTTCACCCCACTGGATCAAGAGATTTTAATGCAGAATTAGAAAAGGAAGTTAGATAAATTAGAGTGACAAAGTGTTAAGCTACAAAGCAGAGGGAGATGTTGTAGGAGAAGATTGCTGCTAAAGTTAATATGTATGTTTATATGAAGTCCTCAGTAGCAGTATGTCGCAACATGTAAAAGGTAGGCACTCGCCTCACTGTTGTTCCATTTGAAGATCACTAAAAGAGGATTCTTCTTGGTCAAAATCACATTCCTGGTCAAATTTTAATAACAAATTTGTCAAATTACATTTTTGGAGCAGAAAATCAATTCAAAATCTGAAATAAATAAAAAAAATTACTAGTAAGATGTGAGTTTTATATACCTAGAATTCTTTATACACTTTAGGTTACCGTTTGGAAATTAATCTGCTTGATTGAATATGTATTGAATATGTACTTCATAGTCAAAATGATACAAATGCTGACCAGTAACAGTAGGAATGTGGAGATCTGATATTCATTTCTAGACATCCAGTTTTTTTATTTTAGATATAAAAAATGTAATTTTGACATGGTAAATGTATTTTGGATATCAGAAATACATTTTCAGACAAACTAATACATATTAAAACTGCCTGCCATACTCTGTTGTAACCAAGATGAAATTACAGGGAAAGCTATTTTATTGCTTGAATGGTAGTTGAACAATCTAATATATTTAGCTGCAGTCCTCTGTCAGTAGGCAAAGAGGAAGAATAAAAACGTTCTAAGGTAGGTCCTATGCACCATCTCGTAGGGATCCTCCTCATCCTTATTCTGTCTTCCGATGCAATAATTCTATCCAATTGTACAATAAATACTAAGTGGCTTTTTGCAGCCACTTCAGATGTTATCACCCCGTTAAATGGCCAGTATTAGCAGTTATCATACCCATAATATGGCTTCAGATTGTGCCTCCTACCTACCAGTGGGCTCAGTAGGTTATTCTCACAGAATTAATCCTAAGCCTAAAATAATTCAACAGTGCTCAATGGACCATTCAGAAGTTTAGAAATCCTTCTGTAACAAATGCCATCATTAGATTTGCAACAATTAAGTTGCAAAGGTCTTGAGAAAGCTCTTTACTTTTACACATGAGATGTTTCTTGTGTGATACCAGAGACACCTTTTTATAGGCCATTATTTGGGATTCTAACAGACAAGGGGCAGGATTGCTTCCTAATTACTGAGAGATGTTGGCTGGTGTCTTTGGTTATCCATGCCTTTTTGCAACTCCCTTCCTTTACCTGTTCAATAGTTTTTCCCTTTCCCTTCTCACATAATTAAACATAACTTAATATCTGGACATCTATGGTTTGGTCTCTTTGTATGTGTGTATTGAATGGATTTTCACCAACATTTTGGTGTAAATGTCATGCCAATAGCACCTCTAGAAGTATATTGACTTAGAAAAATGGTTGACGTGTTTAATACTTATTTCACCCTCTGTATGCAGACCTGATTGTGTCATTGATTTGGGCTTGGAAAGATAGGAGGCTTTTGAGGATGACACCCAGACTCTTAACCTTAGAAGGGATTAATGAATTGTCAATTAATCAATTCAAGGAACTGTTAGTTTTGGAGAGAGTTCAAGGTGCACTAACAAGAATGAACATATTGCTTTTGAGTTCGAGGAAATTGGAGGCCAACCAGGACTTAATATCATCTAAGCAGCTGGAAAGGAAGGGAGGTGAAAAGAAGGAGTTAGGTTTACCAAAGAAGTAGAGCTAGGTGTCATCTGCATAGCAGTAAAATCAGGTTATGTTTCCGGAAAATCTTGCCAAGGGGTAGGAAATAGATGGTGAAAAGAAGGGGGCTGAGGTATTAGACCTGGGGGACACCTACAGTGAGAGGAGAGGGCTGGGAGAAAAATGATTTAAGCTGAATGAGCTGAGTGCGGCCAGACATGTATGACTTAAACCAGTCGAGTGGGGTAATGTCAAGAGAGTATAATCTATTGAGGAGGATGGAGTAGGATATGGTTTCAGGGGCTGCACTGAGATCAAAGAGGTGAGGAGGAGAGAGACCAGAATCTGCTGCCGAGAGGAAGGAATTTGAAAATTTTTAGGAGTACCGATTAAGTGCTGTGAAAAGGGCAGAAACCAGACTAGTTGTTCATATAGTTTATTGTGGGTTAGGTCAGTGGGAAGTTGAGAGGCAACTACAATCTCCAGAATTTTAGAAATAAAGGGCAGATTTGAGATGGAACAAAGAATCACAGATTAGAGAATTTTGGCTGGATTAAGAAAAGTGTGTCATGATTATGAAACTTAACTAAATAAGATGTATTTTCACACAGTATCAACATTTTTTAACTTTCCTTCTCTATATTGATAGATATATTGGCTCCCTGCCCTGCCTCAGTGACATGTAATTCTTAATACATTAGGTCCAATATGACATTGGTTCACCCTTTGCAATTCAATTCAGTTCATTTATATAGCACCAATTGCACAGACCATTCAACCAGATTATACAGTCAGATTGGTTCACATTGTTCTATCTAAAGAAAACCAGCTGATTGCATCGACTCATTGACTCTAAAGCGATCCCTCACCCCAAACATGCTTGTAGCGACAGTGGAGAGGAAAACTCCCTTTTAACAGGAAGAAACCTCCACCAGAACCAGGTTCAGTGTAAGCGGCCAACTGCCCAGGCTGACAGGGGTTCAAGGACATAGACACATTAAGAAGCAGAGATACAAAAAGTAACCGCCAACCAATTATGTCTAGACCCAATTATGTTCACAGGTGGACCCGTCCACCTGTGAACATAATTGCTACGCAGCCAGGCAGACGAGCTTCAAGCCAGCTCTCAAGTCAAAGGATGAAAGAGAGCCCATACAGTTAGTCACAGTAAGAGAAACGGGACTACACTGAAAAACAGGCCAAGCTCCAACATCTATAAACAAAGGTATTTTTTGGAAGCAGCACAGCTGACATTTCTCTTTGGAATGGTGTCACAACAAACAGGAGCAGACCAGATGAAGCTATTATGAGAAAAAGCAGAGAGAACATAAAGTTAGAGATTGAACAAACAAATACTGCTAAATGGGAGAACGGAGATAGAATGCATCAGAATGATGAAAAGGGGTCCCTATGTCCTCCAGCACTTTAAGCCTATAGCAGCATAACTAGAGAGACAGGTCAGGATAACCTGAGCCACTCTAACCATAAGCTTTATCAAAAAGTAAAGTTTTAAGCCTTGCCTTAAAAGTAGACAGGGTGTCTGCCTCACAGATTAAAACTAGTAGTTGGTTCCACAGGAGAAGAGCCTGATAAATAAAAGATCTGCCTCCCATTCTACATTTAGACATTCTAGCCACCACTAATAAACCTGCAAATTGAGAGTTAAATGCTCTCTTAGGAACATAACGTATAATCAGATCCATGAAATAATATGGAGTTTATCTATTTAAGGCTTTATATGTGAGAAGGAGGATTTTAAATTTTATTCTGGATTTAACAGGAATAAAATGGAGAGAAGATAAAATGGGAAAAATATGATTTTTCTTTTAAAATTTTAATGTTTTTTTTAAGCAAAAAACTACAGCTATCACTTCAACTCCTCTTAGAGGAAACAAGGTTTAAGAGTATTTATGGGAATCTTCCAGAAGCACATTTGTGAGTTCAGACACTAATGCTGGAGAAGAAGGCCTGGCTCTCGGTATCTGCTCTTAGTCAGGTCAGGACTCAACTTTATGATATTTTAACAATGAATCGGCTTTCCTCTTTATTTACACACAGTTATTACCTGCAGGATCAGGTGTTTATAAATTCTGAAAGCAAAAGGACTAAACGTCCCTTCCTAATTATGATTAAAATTAAGAAAAAAACAACAACATATGAACGGGGATTTCAAAGAGGATGTGTTAGGTATGTTCTTATATGATGTTTGTACCACTGATGGTGGAAGGGGGCTGATATAAAAGCGGTTCTGTGGGAGGAGGCTGACAGCGCCGCTCCTTCTCAGGTTGAAGGATGGGGCCTGCTGGATGGACCATGTTCCTTTGTTCTTGCCTTCTGCACCTTTTGCGTGCAGAAGACCACGTTTTGTTTACCCATGGATGTTCTGCGTTACAAAGACATAACATATCACTTATAGAAACAATTCAACCTCTCCTGGCAACTAAACTAATGTGCAGATCATATTTACAATATTATCAGTTTTTCATCAAGTCAGCTAATCATCAATAATAAACAGACTGATAGTTAACAGAAGAAATGTTGCATTAACCACAGGCTCAGATTCAGCAGAAAAGAACTATTTATTTCAAAGATAGGCTCTCTCCACTAGATGGCACCGTTAAACCCTCTGTAACCTCTGCAGGAATCTATAATCTCTTATTTTCTATTTTAGAGATTTATCATGATTTATTTAACTCTAAATTATGCACAAGTGGGCCAAGTCGAGTCGAACTGGTCCAACGTGAGCTGGGAGCATCATCACAGTATCAAAATGTTCATATTTCTCAAAATAATTAAATGTTTTATGTGAATGAAAGGAGTTTAAATCTACCTGCAGGATTAAATGCATGATCATTATCATTTATAAATTAGGGAAAAATCTGATATAAAATAATTTGACAACAGAAAATTGTCTGGAATGCAATTATTATTGCATCCATATATTTTCTAAAATCTTTAGATCCTAAAAAGGAGTCTGAATATTCAGCATGTGAAAGTAAAAATATGATTCATTTTCTGTGGAGCTGCTGGGACCCACGGGCGTGGCTTCCGTGGGCTCTGAGGGGCGGAACGTGGCCCTCGGGTCCCTTCTAAAAGAACTCTGGTTTGGCTGAGATGCTGCACAGAAACATCTCAGCCAAACCGTCCAGGTCCGGTGGAGATAAAGCGATCATGTCGAAGTCCAACAGGGTTGTGTTGGTTCTGGGGGGAGCGGGGACGGTGGGCTCAGGGATAGTGAAAGGCCTGCTGGATAAAGGTAATCTCAACCTATTATTATTATTATTATTATTATTATTATTATTATTATTACTTTTACAGATGGCTCATTCAGTTCAATGTTTCTGTCTCTGCGCCTCTGCGCTCCACAGACAGCTTTGCGTTTCTTCAATCGTTTCCACGGAGCTTTCCTCTTTTGAGTCCCACCAGAATTAAAACTTTGACCAGCTGCTCGTGGATTTAAATTCTGTCTGTTGTGATCTTAGATTTATTTCCTCCTTTTAGGACTAAAAGCTTAAAAGAGGCTAAAGTATGAAGGTAGATTTGTTTCTTTATCATTCAATCAAAAAAAAGGTTGCTTAAACCAAAAAATATATTTTCAATAAAAAAAAAAACTTCTCAAAGAAAGAAAAAAATATTTGAATGTAAAAACATATTTAAACACTGCTTTTCTTCTATTTAAAATGTTTTATTTGATAGGAGTCCAGTCTTTTTTGTTTAAAGAAACTTTTTTTTAAATTGAAGTAACATTGTTTTTTTGATTGGACCATATAATGAGTAGGATTTGTGTATTTATTGTTCAATCAAAAAAAGAAGTTGCTTCAAACAAATAAACAACAGAATCAATAAAAAAGTTACTTCAATGAAAAGATTAACGTTTTCAATCATAGAAAATCGTTTTTGAATGCAAATAAAAAATTTGAGACTCAAAAATTTGCGTTTGAACACTTTTTTTTATTGTTGAAAATGTTCTCTTTGGTTGAAGGGATCTATTTTGTGCTTGGGCCATACATGGGTAGGAGTATGACATTTGTGTCTTAATCATTCAATTCCCAAAAAGTTGTTTCAATCAATCAAAAAAAAATAAAAAATGTGTTCATTCAAGTGAAGATTTGTTTTAATAGAAAATATATTTGTTTTGATTAAATGGTAAAGAAAATCTACCTTCATACTACAGTGGCTAACTCAGTGGTTCTCAAACTTTTTCTGTCATTCCCCACTTTGGACAAGGGGGAATTTTCAAGCCCCGCCTGTCCCCATCGCCCCAACACAATGCTAATGAAATATGCAACAATCTTAAAATGTTCCAATTTTACTGAAGTAACAAGTAGTATCTAAATACAAACTATCTACATCAAATAACAGCAAGCTAAAAAATAAAGAAAATAAAAATGCAGCTGTGTCAAAATTTGTATCAAGCTCAAAGATAGAAAAAATTAAAGTGCCACTCTGCAATCTGTTAATAAAAGAAAAGAAGTGAAATCCATCTGGCAAGACAGTTCTATTTATCCCTGCATTAGTGGCTGCAATGAGCCTGTTTTGCATTGCACAGTTTCTCAAAACGGGGTTGCAGGCTTGATACTGCCACTCTCAAGTCATGCTCAATGTTCAGCTGAGATCTGTATTTTGTTTTCATTGAAGCAACAGCTGAAAAGCCCATCTCACAGAGATATGATGTGGCAAAGGGAAGAAGAATGCACACAGCTCTCTGCCCGATGAGTGGATACTCCCTCTCCACTCCTAACCAGAATTCACTATTAGTCTGAGCATTAAACCTGAGCTTCAGGGTGGAGTCAGACATCATGTCAATAAACTGGTCCTCCTCAGCAGACCTAAAATCAGCAGGTGCTGCAGACAGAATAGGAAAAAATAGACTTACTTTATTTTTCATTGCATAATAAACTAATAAAATATTTCAAATTCAGTTATTTATGATCAACCTGCGCCGTCAATCCCGGCGCATGTGCGCTTTATTTGCAGTCTGGACGCTAAAGTTAAACATGCTGTGTCTCTGCTCTGACTGCAGCGCTGAGAGGGACTCCTGCGATAGCGGGGGAGAACGGGGTTGGGACGGAGGAGGCGCCCCACGGCAGCACCTGCCGCTGGAGGACAAGAAAAGGAACGATACGTGCTTTCACGTAAGAGTCTCCAAAAGTCGCTAGATTTGTCGCTAGTCGCTTTTTTGAAAAAGAGTCGCTGGAGGGGTCTGAAATATAGCGACAAAGTCGCTGAGTTGGCAACACTGGGGCGCGAAAGTTTATTCCGTTACAAATAATATGCCGACGTCACGTCAATAATTATTTTGGCACTTCAGTTCCAGGTGAAATGTTTCTCATATCTAATGTTCTTTTAATTAGACTGCATGTAGGCTAGTAATGATTACTTTGTGGGTTTGATTGGTCTAAAAAGCGGCAACATACAGCTATAAGGACAGTTTGCTCTCACACGTTCTACATTTATAGTCACACACACACACACACACACACACACCGGAACTTGGCGCGCCCCACCTGTCACGTCTCAATTCCCCACCAGTGGGTCGCGCCACACACTTTGAGAACCGCGGGGCTAACTGAACAACGCGCTGCGCATTACGCACCTGCCTGCCCGCTGCGAGGAAGAGGAGGGAGGATTACGCTTCACATTTCTCTTGAGATGGTTCAACATCTAGATCCAATTATGTCAAATAATATCAACAAGCCTCCAACCCTGTTTAATTTCTTAGACTCTCTTTTGAATCATTGTGAGTCATTTGGATTAAATCTCCTGTTTCTCTTTCCAAAAGGTTTTAAAAAATCTGTCCAATGAGTTCGGTCAGGTTTTTACGCTTACAGCACTCTGCATCCTCGGCTTATTTACACATATCTCCGGCTTTTTCTGAAATTTGAACTAGTGCCAAAAATAGTTCAGCATCTGTCTCTATGATGTGCAGATGACAGTATTCCTCCAGACTGGCAGAGCAGGTTCTCTGCGGTTTATGGTTAGGTGGTTTTGTTAACACCTCTGTTCTATTGGATTGTGCCCCAGCTGTTTCTTACGGAAGAGGATTAGGGCCACTAAAAAAATAAAAAAAAAGGTTAACTGATTTTAAATTTTTAATTCAGTATAATATGGGAAAAAAAGTGAGAATTTTGAAATTAAAGTCAGAATTCTGAGAAAAAAGTTAGAATTCTGAGAAAAAAGTCATTATTCCGAGATTAAAGTCAAAATTCCGACTTTTTTCACATATTAAACTGAAATAAAATGTAAAAATCAGTTAACTTTTTTTTCCCCCACTGGCCCTAATCCTCTTCCATAGTTTTTAAACAATGCCGCCTCTTTAAAAAGAGCACCATGGAGTCTAATGTTGTCTGATACTTAATTCCAAACATAGATCTGAAACAACTCAGGTTTTACTATGATTTCTTGACTCTGGTGCAGATCTATTTCTTCTTGATCTCACTGCTACCTTTTGACACTGGGTTTTATTTTCCTGTGTCAAAGAAGCTGTTGGTGAGAAGCACATCACTCATATAGTTTGAGTCCTTCCTGAGTTATTGGAGTTTTGCTCTCCAACTTTGAGAGATTATTCTGAATTCTGCAAAGGCACCATTTAAACATGGGATACCTCAAGGCTCTGTGTTAAGTCCCCTTTTATTTTCTCTCTGTTCCACTCTGGATCAAGCTAATCTCTTCACTTAACAAAAAAATCCATACATTTATACAGAGAAAACATGATCAGTTCAGTCAGACAGACAGATCCCAGGTCTTGGGATCTGTTAGATCCAGTTTTGAAATAATACTGTCAGGTTTACTCAATTAGTGTGGATGTTTCCCATCTAAGGAAGCTTATCTGTCTGTCCAACAGGTCAGTGGATAGAGTTGGACACAGTCTCATTTCATTGTCTACAGCAAAATCAGAAAATCCCATCACTGCCACCAGCATCTAATCACAGTCGATAGTGTGTGTCGATGGGATGATTTCGGTTTTTAGTTTTGTGTTTATTACTGTTTGTGGTCTCCCAGTCTGAATCCACTATTATTTACCATGCTTCACTAGTGTGGAGATGAGAGTTTACAGAGTACACATTTAAAGCTTTGGTTTGCTTTTAAATCGGGCAGACGGGTGCTGCTCTGTCCGTGGCTCAGATTCATGTGAATACCTGCTCTGTTTGTCTGCAGGTTTTAAAGTTGCTGTGATCTCCAGAGATAGCGGCAGACTGGAGAAACTGCGGACCTCCGTCTCTCCCAACACCAAGGACAACCTCATCACTGTGTTGGGAAATGTTGGTAAGTTACACCACCTGGGATCGTTTGGTCTGTACAACATAACACACAACCTCTAAATCTCTTTCTGAGGGCGTTAAACTTAAAACCCAATGAAAGTACAGATAGTTTGATCCAGCATAAAGTTATGAACTCTGAAAAACTGTCCCCTTCTTAATGTTTGAACAGTATGGACTCCACATGAACCCTGGAGGTGTGGAAGGGGTTACGGCACCGGCAAGCAGCACATCCTTCTGATCATAGGGTGGAGCTTCCATGGGTTAGCATAGAATAGAATGGAAAATCCATTTATTGTCCCAAAATGCAAAAATTCTGGTGTTACAGGAGCAAAAAGAAAATAGAAAAAGATGGTCACACAAATGTGGACCTTAGAAGAGTGTACAAAAATAACATAATAGTAAAGAGTTAAAACATAAAAACGTACTGTACTGTAAATTGTTTATCAATATAAATATGGTGCACCTGGAAAATAAATAACCAATATACAGCTGTGGACATTTTTACAGTAATGGACATTTTAAAATTTAATCAAAAGAAGGGGGTTCTGCTAGCACCAGACCACAAAGTTCTGGGTCTCTCTAGACTGTCATTAATATCCCACAGATTCACATCTGGACACCTATTAAATATTGAAACTCACATGGTGAATCTTTAGTACAGGATGGTGTTGACATGGCAACCAGGACAGCTCTGTAGTCTCACGCAAAGCAAATTTCAATGTTCTTTCCATTTGCACTAGAGGTTCCCATTGTTAATAAGGCAAAGCTCATTACCATCTAGGTAATAGCAACCTCTACTATTCATTACTGTTATGTAAAGAATCAGACACTAAATGCATAACAGACATTTACACCCTGGCTCAATCAAGCAAATCAGTAAGGACGGAGGTAGGAGAAAGAAGCTTGATGCTCCCTATTATTAAATTCTTTTAGCATTGGGACCTTAAAGCAGCTAAGGAGCTATAAACAATCTCACATTACTTTGTGTTACATTTAAGCACAGCCCACGTCACCAAAAGAAGAAAAATGCATTATTTCTTTAGTTGTACTGAGTATGACACATGCTGATGTATGCACTTTCATATGTTTTGAGTTTTATAAGTGCATTTCTGCTTTTCACCTGCACTTGTTTGACTTGTGTTGTTCTTTTTTAGAAAGCAGTAGTTCAGATTTGACAAGCATCATCCATGTGCTTTTCCATTATGTAATGACGTCCCAAAGGCTAAAGGCTATTCAGATTTCCCGAATTTTTTTCCTACCCACAGTAAATTAGTGCCGTTGACCCTAAGAAAAGTAAAGAAACAAGAACAGAGAGCCATGGTTATGCTTCTATTCACAAAAGGCTTGGCAAAACAGATACTAAGCTCAATAAGTACACATGCTAACTAACACTTTTTATTGGGACAACCTGAGGTTAGCCTCTCAGCATGACTAGCTACTGCAAGCAGTTGGAAAAACAGTGGATTTAGTCTTCCATGACACATGACTTGAAATTCAACTCCAGTCCTCCAAAGCCGGTGTGCTGCATTCCTATTGATGGCTGATAAACAGCCTTATGCTGAACTGCATTGATCTAAATAAAGAGTGTCAAAGCAGGGAAGCATCTAAAACCTGCAGGACACCAGCCCATCAGGACTGACTTTGGGCACCCTTGCAATGTGAGCTGGTAAAATATGGCAAACAAACCAAAATCAGAATCAGAAATACTTTAATAATCCAACAGGGAAATTGCTATACAATAATAATGAAAGTTCTTTTTTAATTCAGTCATTTGGTCGCTTAAGACCCTTTATAAATTATTACATCGAACTGGTGAATAATATGCGTTTGAATGCTAGGTTCCTCTTAAAGTCTCTAGAAGTTTTGAAGGAGATACGTGTGAAAAAATAGAAAAATTGTAACAACCTGCAATGATTAGTCATTTTCTCGCTGAGACACAAAGTGAACATTTATTAGCCAGCAAATGGCCCCAGCAAGTAGTCATTTCCTAAGAAGGTAATGACTAACAGGTAAGGGGTGGTCACCATGGTTTAGCTGGAGTTTACTTCCTACCTGACTTTATTTACTGGTAAGTGTTGAGTAACACTCAAGATTTCTGCAAAGCTGTGTGCAAACATTAAATCTGTGTCATCAGGGAAGATTAAATCTGGAACATGTTGAAGCTCTTTTCTTCTGCATCTGTTTCCAGGCTCAGAGGACGGTGCTGAACAGGCAAAGGAGGCCCTGTTGAAGCAGGTGGGGAAGGTGACCGATATAATTTCTTCCCTGGGCTTCAGCTGGTGGCAGGGCGGTCCCCCACATACCCAGTCCCTAAAAGACCTGCACTGGGTCAGCAAACACACAGTCTACACAAGAGGCAGAAAAACAGACTGATTATCCATTAGTTTCAGATTTTATCCATGTTCTGAATGGTGTTTTCTACAGATGGTTTGATAAATGTTCCCTCTATGCAGGTAATGGAGACGTTACTGTTCAGCACATTTGTCTCCTGGAAGGCTTTCTTCCCCCTGGTGAGGGACAACTCGGACTCCAGCTACACCTTCATCACGGGTATGTTTTCCATGTTGCACAATCTCGGAGGAAATATTAGAAACTCAGGGATTATCTGGCAATATTTTGCATTTTTTTTTAGAATCAAACAGAACAAAATAAGGTTAAACTTACAACAAAGGAGAAACATACAATGCCATTCTCAGATTTAATGAAATGGGTAGTAGGATTTTAATATACAACATAAGATGTTAATATTGTTTGACGTTTAAAGAATCAGATTTACTGTGATTGAAATGAGCTTTAATTATTTTAGAAACTGAGATCATAAACTGGAGAACACAGACTGTAAACAGCTGCATTTTTAAAATACGATAAGTGTTTCAAGGTTAGCTAAGAGACGATGTCCCTCTGACGTGTCCTGGAATCAACCGTGAGGCATCCAGAACAACAGGGAGTGGCTGGCCACCCTGCAGAGGAAGCTCATTTCATCCAGTTGTATCTGGGATCACCTTTTTCGGTCATGATCCAGAATTCCTGATCATATAGCTGAGGGTAGGGATGTAGACTGATTGGGAATTTGAGAGCTTCTCATTTTGCCTCAGCTCTTCTTTACTTCGACAGCCCGGTGCAGGCAGCGTCCGAATTACAGCAGCACCAATTGCTTTCCACTCACCTCTCAACATTAACAAGACTGTGAGAAACTTGAACTCCTTCACTTGAGACATCAACTCCCATTCAAACTGAAGAGGGCAAACAACCCTTTTCTGGTTAAAGAACTATGGATTTGGGCTTGAAGGGACAGATCTTGTTTAAGCTGTGTAGACGAAATATGCTGTTCCCCAAACCAGAACGTTTCCAGTCCTTGGCTGCTTTCTTGTCCATGAAAGTTATGAACAGGAACAACATCCAACATGGACCAGAACCAGGTCTGACTCAATGACACCAAACCAGCTTACTATTGTTAAACAGTTTTTATTAAAGAATCAGTGACTCCTGTAGTACCACCCAAAGGGTTCCCTTTAAAGACAGTGTAGAATCCGTTCTCCAGGTCCATGAAACACACATGGACCTGGGCAAAGTGTCCATCTGGTTGGGTCACCAAGTTTCTGAACGCTGACTGCCTCGCGATCAATTCTAGCACTATTTTCTCCTGCAGGTTGTTGGCCCTCTAGGGGAATGGCCTCACGTTACTCATTTAGGCTTTGCCCAATCTGTTCCCATTGGGAGTAACAGCCCCCAGGCACTCGCCGACAAGCCCCAAACCTAGGCCTGACTCAAGGGTGAGGCCCCAGCTATGCTTAATTGAGTCCCATCACCAGCCTCCATCTTGTCGTCTTCATACAGTGTTTTCGCCCGATCTTTGTCTGACCCGCCAGCCAAGCCTGTTTGCCATGACCCTATCAGGGGCCTTTAGACCCAAGGCGACATAACCTCTGGCATCAGCTGATCCTTGGAATCCCTTCACTGCATCAAGGTGATGTTTCTTAAAGCAGATTTGCTTCACTGAAAAACATATAGACATACCAGAACTTTCCATCCTACTGTGCAGCTGGGGGAGAGCTTGGTTCTGGTTCTGATTTTGGGGATGTTTGCTGTTTTTTCTTTTAATATGTAAAATATTTTACATGCAATTATAAATAATTCCATGAAATATCTGTAGAGTATGCCATTTTTTAAATCCATTTACATGATTCATCATTACAATAATAAATTGAATGCTAAATTGCCGAAATAATCATTAGCTGTGGACTTAGTAGTGTTACTTCAGGACAGTGTATTGTTCTGGTGAAAGACCCAGGTACTTAGGAGGGTCCACCATGTGAACTAAAGCTCCCTCGATGTTTGAAACTGTCAGTGCGGTGAGTCTATGCCTGAAGAAGTCCACCAACAATTATTGTTTTCCAGCATTTATCAAATGAATACACTGAAATTATAATCAGCACTATACCGAAGTATTCACACCCCTTGGACTTTTTCCACATTTTGTCATAATAATTTTTGCGATAATCCAAAACATACTAAAGCATCACCTCATCCTTGTGAGGTGGAAGGAAGATCATTCATACCGTTGAGTCTTAGCCTCCACTGGAACAGAGACTTTCTGTTGCTAAAATGTTACTCCATGGAGCTAAACGTATCCCCACAGAGGCAGCACTTCTAGAAAGCTTTCTTCACCTGTGGATATCCTATCCTGGCTCCTGAGGAGATCCAACAGAAGGAAACAAGCAAAGAACCAACAAAGATACTGGAACACATTTGATAAGCATTCTGACGCATATCAGACTAGGGCTGCCTGCAACTTACGACTGTTTTGCAAATTGATTAACCTGCAATATGTTTTTGAATAATCAGAACGATGTGAAACTAAAACTGTGCCACTTAGCATATTCACAGACTAAAACAATTTTTAAAATCTTGAATAGAAAATGTTTTTTCTTTTCTTACAATTTTGGCCAAATTAGTGCTCTGAGTGGGTTGCTCTTTTCATTGATGGCACATGTCTGTATATTCCTCTAGGCACTTAATCGGATACTAAATTAGTTTACAATTATTTCAATAATCGAATAATCCAATTTATTCAGATTAACTATTTCAGCCCTCCATTAGACCACACCAAACTCTCAGACAGAGCTGGATTTATCCTCAGAACAGAATCCCCAATCTGATACTGTTGCAAATTGTCAGATTTAGCTAGATCTGGACTTTAACTAGGCTGTAAGTATTGATCAACACCATCCATCATTTCTCTATATTGAAGTTGAAGGTGTATTTCTCCATCCCAGTCTTGGGTCGTTCAAGACTGTCCTACATTTAGTTCCATCCATTTTCATCTCGAACCAGCATCCTTATTCCAATTGGTGAAAACATTTTCCACAGCATCATGCTTCCAACTTTGTGTTTTTGCATCTGGGGTAGTTTGCAGTGAGTCTTGTAGTCTGTTGTGTTCCATGAACTTCTTGATACTGAAACCTCTAAGAAAACAAAAATGAAAAAACAAAACAAAAAACTCTGCAAACCATGCATCTGTCTCCTTCCACCTCACAAGGATGCTCTGTTATGTGTTGGTCTATTTGTGGATCCTGTGAAGGTTTAAGACTTGCAGATATCTTCACAGCCTCCTGCTGATTGAACGACTCTTCTCGATGTGTGCTCATTTTGTTGAATGCTGGTGCTGTGTGTCTCAGGAGGAGCTGGAGAGAAGCTGCTGATGCCAGGGACTGGCTTCCTGACGGTGGGGGCTGCCAGCGCTCTAGCTTTCTGCCAGGTGCTGAGAGAGGAATACCCCGAGGTGTCCTGTAAATTCAACCAGGTGAGACTCTGCAATCTAAGATGTTACATAATCAGGTCAGTTTTCAGCGGCAATCAGCCCACCCCGAGAAACAGCAGCAGGACATGTCGTCTTTACATGTCAGGCTTAGATAAGCACTTTTGCAGCATCTGTTCATGTCTCCTGATTGACGTCTTCAGTGATAAAGAAAACACTTCATGGAAGTATTTACACCCCATAGCTTTTTTTCTTTTCTCCTGTTTTAATCTCAACCCATTCCTGGTAGGAGGTCCTTTTCTTAACTCTGCTACCCCTAAGGTCAGGTGCCTCCCAAGGGAGTCAGACATCTCTGACCTCGGACTGAGAAGAGCTGACTTGTTGATCAAACCTACATCACTAAACAGCCAGGAGCCTACATCGGCAACCTTCTCTCCCATTAATCTCATCTCTTCTTCGCTTGCAGGTGAAAATCAACACAGGTGTAGGGACTCCAGAGCGCATGGCCCCCGGCTACCTGAACCACCTGGACCTGGGCGAGGTGATCGCAGCCCTGGTTGAAATAAGAAGCCCCTCCCACGCTGTGTTCACCATCAGCAGCCCTGCAGACTTAAAAACTGTTCTTCTGGAGGGGAACCCTTAGAAGACCCCCTTCCTTCAGAACACGATCTGCAGCTGCTTCCGGGTTCTTGTTGCTTCTCTTTGCTTGTTTCAATGGTTCTGTAACGTCCAACAGGGCATATTTTTGCATGTGTTGTTTTATCTGTAAAATATGCAAACACTCCTAAATGTTCTTGCACCACGAAGATCCCTTTTAGCACCTTGGCAGAAACATCTTGGATTTGAGCAGATTTCCTAAGACCCAATTAAACTCCAAACTTTTAAACTGTGGGTTTGCTCCGGGGTCAAAATTATACATAAAGCCTCTGTTTCTACTTTGCTTTTTGAAAAAAATCAAACATTTACGAATATGTTTCATAAAACCCTGTATATGAAAATATCCCATTTCCTGAGGTAATTCTTTTTAAATCTGACACGTTTCCTCATGATATTGATCCATTTGTCTTTTGCTAGATGATTCCGGGTCTAATCCTCTAGCAGCCACTGACTTTATTTTACTTTAGTATACTATAACCTAGCTGGACACCTGCAGGATAGATGAATAAATAATTATATTTAATTAATGGCTTATTCTGAGTGACTATCTAATAAGGCTGGAGATCCAATCCACTGTAGAGGTTTTACACTCTCAGCCAACGGCCCCAAACCTAAGGGACATTTTGGTTTTATTTCAGGAGGAATAATATTTTTCCATATTTAGTCTGTTTTCATCAGTTTAACTGTGAGTCCAACTCTCAGTTTCTACAATGATAATTTGCTAGATCCTAGCAGTTAGTTCTCTATGAACTCTGGATTATTATGAATCACCCAGAATATCTAGATCCGACTTGAACTCTCCTGTTTAATTATACCTTCATAATGTGTCTAAACCAGAAGGCATCCGAGGTCTTCCTCCCTAAGCTGCTGAAAATGTCCTTACCATCCTGTGATCCGTTTTAGTTATTAATCTGCTCATCCAACAGAGCAAGAATTTCCCCTTAGCTGCTAAATATGGTTTAACGTTTATTAAACCAGATATTGAGGCATTTTAATATTACAGATGAGATGTTCTTTTTGTTCTTCAGTCATGTTTAGAAGTTTACTCAGTTAATACATCAGTTTGATCTATAAATCCAATAGTCCTGGGATCACATAGGTCCAAATGAAGGAACCTGATCGAGTTCTGTTCTAGTCCAGTACAAGTCCAATAAAGCTGTGCAGTTATTGACTGTAGTTGTTTTAAATGTGACATCAGAATTGGACCTTTGGTTTCAGAAATAGAAATCCAGCTTTATTCTCCAAGATAGTGACTATTAAGCTTTATCCTTTAGTTTTCAGTTTCTTCTGCAGCATCATAAAGTTGATTTCTCTTACCTGATTGCATCTATTGTAATAAAGAATCGTTATCTTCCAAGTTTTTTTTTTGATCATTTATGCTCCTGTTAATTTTTTTTTTGTTTTTTTTTTACAATTTACATATTTTTTAAAAGCGTTTGCTGCATATTTATTCGTATCTTTATATTCTATGAATAATAAACTTGATAAATGAGTTTTGTCTCTCCCCCCCCCCCAAGTAGCTAAAAGGTCACTTCTACTCAGGAACTGAGAATAAATAATCTCAGATCCAGCTTTATTTGACAAGTACACATTGGATTACAATTTTCACAATGTACTCATTTATACAATAACAATCCAGTAATGGAAATAACTATAGCTTATGGAATGGAGAACAGATATACACATATTTAGTTTAAAACAATGGAGCAGTAACCAGGAAATGGTCTGAATAAAGGTAGATTTACTGAGAGAAAAGGCTTGAAGAGAAACTCTGCCTGAATCTGTTGGTTTGGGTGTACATTGATCTGTAGGTCCTATCAAAGAACAAGAGCTGGAACATTTTTAATAACGTAGTCCTTAATGGAGGGTTTTCTTTAGACCCGATTGTCGGTTTGTGTCCTGCTTGGTGTGAGAGCTGAATCAAAAAGTGGAGGATATACTGGGGGAATGCTGTGTAGAACTGGATGAGCAGCAGCTCCTTCGACAGGTCGAGTTTCCTGACTTGAAGCAGGAAGAACATCCTCAGCTGAGCCTTCTTCATGATGGTCTAAGTGTTTTGCTCAGACTTTATGGTTTGAGATGATTCGAAGGACAACCAAGCCCCAAACTGGCTTCTGGAGAAAAACTGATAGGAGCTGTCTGAAGCTGCCCCACCACAGATTCAGGAGCTCTCAGCCTCTGACGAGGAACAAAGTTTGAAGCTTTAGTTTGCATCTTTTTGAATTTATTCACAAATGAAAAGAATTCAATGTGTGTTTGGGGGAGTTTCCTCTAAACATGTGACATGAACAGAATAAATGGCTGATGACAGCTGAGACAGGGGCGGCCCAAGACTGACACATTTTCATCCAGAATCGCGTGCCGGTCTGACCCTTTCACACACACACCACCTCCGACCACTGAAAGCCTAGATCCTGTCTGGTTTGGGGGGCAGCATGGCCCTTTAATAATGAGATGTCTGAAGTTTCACCGAGCTGGAGCAGACAGGAGGGCGTGGGGGGTTTGTTGGGTCAGAATTAGGACAAATTATAATAAATGTGTAACACAGACCCCTCTGACAGACCCCTCAACATTCTCTGCTTGTTAACCGGCTTTGCTGTTCTGATTCCACTGATATCATTAAAGCAGTCCAATTGTTTCAGAACCTGATTTCTTCTAAGAACTCACATAATTCTGTGGGTCCCCTAAGTTTTTAAATAATGGGGATCAGAGAAAGTAGGAAGACAAGCAAAGAACACTGCAGAAACATGTCTGCTCAGACTCTTGGTAAAAACATTGCTCCACAGGCAAACATTAAAACTGTGAGACGTCTGTGGAGAGAGGACACAGAAGGAAGATACTTCATGTTTTCATATACACTCACCGGCCACTTCATTAGGTACACCTGTCCAACTGCTCGTTAACACTTAATTTCTAAGCAGCCAATCACATGGCGGCAACTCAGTGCATTTAGGCATGTAGACATGGTCAAGACAATCTCCTGCACTTCAAACCGAGCATCAGTATGGGGAAGAAAGGTGATTTGAGTGACTTTCCCTGCTGAAAAATAAATGTGCTAAGTGTACTAAAATTTAGCATACTTTTGTGTACTTGAAGGCACACTAATCATTACTATACTTTAAGTGTGTTTATGATTAGTTAACTTGAAGGATGCTATTTTGGAACAACTAATTTTGTACTAAATATATTTTAATTGTAATTAAATTGTGGACAAGCTCAACTTGAAGTGTATTTAGTGTACTTTGATGTGCTAAAGTGGAACAACTTAAAGTATATTTTGTATACTTTAAGTATATGAGTTTATATGTACTAATATATGCTTAATTAGTCAAATTAAAGTGCACTATGGTTGTATTATAACTACATTAAAAATGATTTGTTAGTGTCTTAAAAATATATAAGCTTTATACTTTTAATATACTCTTACTGTGGTAATAATATGCTTAATTATACTGTTGGCTTATTCCAATTACTAAAAAAGCATACTTTGCAGTTAATAGTAAATATACTTTATCATTACATTGCTATACTACTTTCTACCTTGCACATTCTTGCAAATGTATTAACAGTATACTAAATGCTGAAAGACTTGTGGATATACTTCCGTGCAGATGAAAAAATATACTTTAATGTATTTGAAACATGTCCAAATTATAGTACATTACAAATAATATAACTTGTACTATCTCAGAATGTATAAACATTTACATATCGACGTTAACCATTTTCATTATAAAACTTACAACACATTTTCAAATATTGGTACTTTAGTACACTTTGTAGAAATATGTCAATTTCAGGCAGCAGACCTAAACATTACAAATAAACTTTAAAGAACGCAGAGGAATACTGAACAATGAAAAACAACATTCCTTATTATTGCACCCCTAAACCCTCGCACCATACAAAAACACGCCCACCACACATTATTTTCCTTTTTTTGGCTGAACTGCTCATTGTTACATTTTCGTTGATGGCCGTGCGCACATCAGAGACACTTGTTACGGAAACCCAGAAGAACAGCGTCTGTTAACCAAACAGAGAGATACTGAAAATTCATAGTATTTTTGAGCAGTACATCAAAAAAAAGTCGCAAATTGTATCGTATATATCCCAGGCCCCATAAGTCACCAGAAAAAAAAATTGTCCATTTCTTAATTTAAAAAAATCTGATGCATCAATGGTTTTAAGATTGATCAAAAAATTTTAAAAAAGTAACAACAAAAATTGCAAGATCTCAGAAAAGAAAAAATTATGAATCCGCAGAGAAAGGAAAGAAAACTTAGTTTACTTTTTTTACTACGATAACCTGGCTGTCACACCTGGCAGATATGATAAATAATTATATTTAATTAAGCTTATCCTAGTGACATCTAATAAGGTGAGATCCGCATCCACTGTAAAGTTTTAACTCTCATCCAACGCCCAAACTAAGGGACATTTTGGTTTTATTCAGGAGGAATAATATTTTTCCATATTTAGTCTGTTTTCATCAGTTTAACTGTGAGTCCAACTCTCAGTTTCTACAATGATAATTTGCTAGATCCTAGCAGTTAGTTCTCTATGAACTCTGGATTATTATGAATCACCCAGAATATCTAGATCCGACTTGAACTCTCCTGTTTAATTATACCTTCATAATGTGTCTAAACCAGAAGGCATCCGAGGTCTTCCTCCCTAAGCTGCTGAAAATGTCCTTACCATCCTGTGATCCGTTTTAGTTATTAATCTGCTCATCCAACAGAGCAAGAATTTCCCCTTAGCTGCTAAATATGGTTTAACGTTTATTAAACCAGATATTGAGGCATTTTAATATTACAGATGAGATGTTCTTTTTGTTCTTCAGTCATGTTTAGAAGTTTACTCAGTTAATACATCAGTTTGATCTATAAATCCAATAGTCCTGGGATCACATAGGTCCAAATGAAGGAACCTGATCGAGTTCTGTTCTAGTCCAGTACAAGTCCAATAAAGCTGTGCAGTTATTGACTGTAGTTGTTTTAAATGTGACATCAGAATTGGACCTTTGGTTTCAGAAATAGAAATCCAGCTTTATTCTCCAAGATAGTGACTATTAAGCTTTATCCTTTAGTTTTCAGTTTCTTCTGCAGCATCATAAAGTTGATTTCTCTTACCTGATTGCATCTATTGTAATAAAGAATCGTTATCTTCCAAGTTTTTTTTTTGATCATTTATGC